TCCAAGTGACTTCTTGCAGGGCTGAACTGAGAGGGGAAAACCATGCATCGTGCCGGCTACCAGGGAGGAGCGTTTGGTTGAACCTTTCTGCCAGAAACTCGGGTCCCAAGCTGGGGAGCTACTTAGTGATCAAAGGTGATGAAGTGCTCTTTAAAATACTAGCTCAGCTTATCCCTAGGGCTTAAGTCATTTGTTTCTTCTAATATTGTACTTTATCCTATGACCCTTCTGTTTCCCATCCCAGGACAGAGGTGTATGTATATTTGTGGGTTTGTAAATAAATAATATGGACCAAAGCTCTGCAGGAGGGAGGATGGACAAAGGGTTGCACCATGCCCTTGGCGACGGGGAGTCTGTTAGGTGATGCCATTAGCGCAAGAGATTTTGCATTTTCCCATTTTGCCCCTTTTTTCCCCATTTTGTGTCTCTGTCAAGGGCCTGTGAAAATGCCCTTCGGGGTGATGAATCACTGATTGATTTTCAGCTCTTGGTCCGCAAGCGAGGCTTTTCTCTTGGCCCACTGTTGTCTACCATTGCCAGTACGCTGCTGCTGCAACCCAAGGCACGCTTGCCTCTTCTGGCCATTTTCCTGCTGATGTCCTGGATAAAAAACCCCCTTGACTTGTGTCCAGCAAAGCAAAAACCATCTTGCTGGTAAACTTGCAAAAGCAGCACAAAATGCAGCTCTCGCTGAAGATACTAATTTCACCAACGTAAACCTTGTCGTTTATACGGCATTCATTTTTAATATGTACCTTTCAAAGACAGAAGCACGTGTACAGCAATTGTGTCAGCTGAGTTACATGGAAAAAACAAGGCTTTTAAATGGATGTTTTTAAAGTGCTGTCTGCTCCAAGGCCAGTAAAAGGCTTTTCTGCTGTATGGCTGGTGGATCTGCTGCCGAGAGGAGTCCAAGATGGGATTTGCAGGAGCCAGAGTGGAAACTTCAGCCCCAAATGATGTCTGGAGGTGTTCACTGCAATTAAAAAAGGCAAAAAAAATCTTGCTTGCATTGTCTGTTAACACTAATCAGCTCTTAAAGCATAAAGGATGCAGAATCCAACAGCGTCATGGAAGTTTAATTCTATCAACTGAAATATAATTAACAGCCAATTATTTCAGTGTGAATGGTAGTTTTCATCAATTAGTCCAGAAAATGTTTAAATTGCATTAATTTCATCGCTGCCCACTTGCGGCAGATTTGGAAGGGGCTGGAATAAGCTGGTGTGCGATGGATGCAGGGTGATGCCTCCTTCCCTCCCAGAGGGTCAGGAATCAGACAAACCCTCCCCTCCCCCCCCCAAAAAAAAAAATGTTAAAAAGAGGAGTTAAAAATAAAAAGGGGCAAAAATGACAGGGAAAATGTGCTGTAGAAGCTTTTTGCTTTGGGGTTATTACATTTGGGAGTCAATTCCTAATAGCATATTTAACTTTTCATCCTAACATATTAATGCTTGCAAGGTCAAACTGCAAAAAAATGGTTTTAAGTTATTCTATTCTCCAGATCATATTTTTGCATCATGTTTTGGATGCATGTGGATGCCCTCGTGCGGGGTGCTGAGCCCCGGTCCCTGTTCGAGAGGGCTGATGCTCACTTCAAGCCACGTACAGCTCCTCCATGGCTTCAGATGGAGGCACAGACCCAGCCAGCTCGCAGGGAAGCGTATGGAAATCCCTGCCAAGCCATCTGTATGTGGAAGGAATAGAGGCTGAAATGAGGTTCCTGAATAATTGGCCCTATTTTCCTGGTTATTGGAACTTTTCTGTAACAGTCGCTAAGAGCTGCCTGCAAATAGCACTTTTCGGATCGTTTATTTAGGTGCTTAAACTTGGCGTAGCAGCAGGGATTTCCCCCCCCTCCCCTGTTTTAGAATGAAGTTAAAATTTCCCTTTCAAGCCCGGTCATTCTCTTAATGCAATTTATGGAAATAAAAGCTGCTTTGCCCATAGGACCCTCTCGAGCTGGCGATGCCAGATAAGGCGGGATGGAGAGGTGCAGGAGAGCGACGGCGAGCAGACGCTCGGTGTCTGGGGGGTGGCTGCTTTGAGGGGGCCAGTCGTGTTGGTGTGGTTGTGGTGTATGAGCACTGACGGGCTGGGGGGGGACAGGGGGCCCAGGGAAAGGTCAGAGTTTGGTGGAAAATCCGGTATGCAAATGAGGGTAATTACAGGTGTAAGGCGGCGTATGGGATCGCCGCCTCGGTCCAGCCCCAGTCCTCCCAGCAGCACGTGCTATGAAGAAACTTGATGTAATGCAAGAAATTGCCAATTAAGTGGTTTCCAGAGGAAACTGAGGAGCGCGGGAGATGCTGTCGCTCCCATCGCTTCCCTGCAACGCCAGCTTCTTTCCCAGAAAACCTTTTAAAAACTTGCTGGGAAGAGTGTGGAGGGTTGGACTTGCCTTGAAGGCCATTCCTGGTTTCTACAGCAAAGGCATCGGCAGCAGCCCGGGGAGGGAGTTGGGAAGAGAGCAAGGACTACGACACTTGCCCATGTCTTAAAAGACTTTACAAGTGTCTTTTGCTATTTGAGCCTAGCAAGAGGGGTAGGATTTTTCCCCTCAAACCTTGGCTACATGGATTGTGCTTTGCAATTTTTATATCTCTCTCTATATATATATATATCTATTAAAAACATGGATTGTGCTTTGCAATATATATTTATTTTACTGCAAAATAGATATATATTGCAAACCACAATCCATTTTTTTGTGTATATATATATCTTAAATTATCTATACACGTAAAAGCAAGAATCTTGGGTATCTGAGTAATCTTGAGTTTAATAATTCAAGTTTCTTTGTAGGCTTTGGCTTGCAGCTGAGGCTGTGCATCTGGCAGCTGATGGTATGGGGAGCATGGTGCTGCATGCTCCTTTCCAGATTGCACCTATAGCTTCTTATAGATCTTGGATTTTAATCTTTCAGCGGTTTCTGCCTGTATCAGGAGCTGAGTTCTAAATTGGGGATTAAATTGCCTTGCTGCAAGCTTTAGAGGATCAGTGCGTTTGAGTTTTTTCACCATTTTCTAACCAGGACCAGAGGAGAATGATGTGGTTTTAGGGAAACTGCATTGTGCAACACTTTTTAGAAAGGAATTTTGTAAAAAGCAGCTACAAATCTGCTTTCGGGCCGTGCCCAAGGACTCGGGTTAGGAGTTGGGGATTTTCCGCTGGGTTGGGGATTTTCTTGGGTTCCCACCAAAATGCTGCAATTTGCAGAAATCCAGCGGGATTGGTCGCCCGTGTGAAAACTGCCCTGCTTGGATCCTCCTCTGCCGGTTAATCATTTGCCAGGGAATAGCTGGTGGTGTCTCTGGGGCAAAGCAGCTTGTACTGAAAGGTGAAAATAAATTATCAGTGTGGGGAAAAAAAAAAAAAATGAGCAATTAGTGACAGCCACTGGAGTTGCATAGGGCTTTCTGTGGCCGGGGAAGGCCCTGAGTGGATTTTGCACAGTAAATATTTTACCACATACAAGTCCCTCGTGTTCTCCCCCCCAGTTTCCCAAAGGCTGGAGGGGAAACGCTGCATTTCTGTAGCCCCTGGGGAAGATGCCTTTGGCCTTGGCCACCTCTCGGTTCTTGCTTTCTGCACAGATTTCAAGAAAGCACTTCGGACTGCCCCGAAATCCCCAGCCCGGAGCTCAAATGTTCCTCATTAGTGACTTTATTGCTAAATAATTTACAGAATGGGGCCTTGCCAGTTTTTCATACGGGAAGCATTTCAAGTATGCAAACCAGATTTTATGCCTTCCTGGCGCAGCTGCTGGCCGGGCCGGGGGGAGCCGCCTCTCCCCGTCCTGCCGCCGGTGTCACCTCCCCACCTCGCTTCACGAACGGTGACAGAAAGGAAACGGCCCAGTGCATGTGCAAGGGGACCTTAGCAAAAATAAGGGGAAAAAAACCCTCTATTTCATGCCCAGTCGCTGTCCCCCAGGCTGGCTGATACTCAGTGGCCCTGGGGCAAGGACCCAACCACAGTAGCTTGGAGCGGGGACATTTATATTTTATTTCTATTTTATTTTTCCCGTAACGTGCATGCTGAGGGACTTAATTTTTTTTGCTCCCCGTGTCCACGGGCATGGTGCAAACCAAAGAAATCAGTAAGCACCTTTGGATGAGTAAGGGGGTTTTTCCACGTGTACTCAAAGACGGGGCAAAAGCAAAATTAAACTGTTCACGCGCTCGCACGAGTCATTTTGGATCACGATGTCTGGCCCGTGCAGAGGTTTGCGGTGGTGCTGCCCGGCCAAAAAGCAGGAAAGGGATAGCGAGGGAAGACGTGCAATGTGGAAATAGCAAAAAAAGCACTTTATTACACTAAGCAGCGGGTGCAGCCGTAGGAAACGAGGTCGCTGGGGCTTCCCCCGGTGCCTGCTGCGGGGAGGGGTGGGCTGGGGTGGGCTGGGGTGCTCCGGCGGTGCAGCCGCTTCGAGGGGTGTGGCCGTCGCTGGGCGTAAATCTGAAAAATTCACGATTCAGGCCTGCAGGTGAAAGCGTCATCTTCCCCTTTCCAGTCTCAGAGTGGTTCTGTTGAATTTTATTGAGTACGCCCTGAACGTGGGGGTGGCCGGGGACAGACCTGGGTATTGTATGGGGCAGAGGGGAGCTCGGCAGCTTCCGTTGGGCACTGGCCCACATGAGCACCCCATCAGTGAGAGGTTTGGCTGGGGAAGGTGGTTCTCGGTTTATCATCATCACTATATATTTATTTTTAATGCAAAGCCCAGAAACTAATACCCAGCGGAGGGCCCTCCCCATCATGTCCCTCCCTCCTCCTCCTCCTCCTCCTCCTCCTCCTCCTCCTCCTCCTCCATTCCCACGGTGCTCTGAGCACCACTGCAATGTTTTGGGCTGTGCAAAGCAGTTTTGCAAGCGGGGGGGGTGTATGTGTGTGTCACCCCAGCAGCGTTTGCCCAGGATTTGAGTTTGCAGCGGGGGCGTGGGGCCGTGCCGGGAGCCGTCGGTCACTTCCTCGCATTGTGTCTCCTCTTCCTCCAGCGCTGCTGCGGGAGGAGGTGGCCCAGCTGCAGGAGGAGGTTCACCTGCTCCGGCAAATGAAGGAAATGCTGACAAAAGACCTGGAGGAGACGCACGGCAGCAAGTCCCCGGAGGTGCTCTCGGCCACCGAGCTGAAGGTGCAGCTGGCGCAGAAGGAGCAGGAGCTGGCGCGCGCCAAGGAGGCTCTGCAGGGTAAGGGCACCTCTCCCCGGGACCTAAAAGTTTCGAGGAGTTCACTAACGAGGAAAAGCAAAGCCATCCTTTTCGTTTGGACCGTGCAGTGGGCGTTCAGTGCATGCATGGGGTGGGGGGGGGTTGAGCTCCCCGGGACACCCCCCCCCCCGCTGTCCTGCCCAGGCAGTGCAGAGCTGGGAAGGACCAGAATGGGAAATAGGGTATGGAGGGGTGTTTGCAGCGTTGCAAAGTAATTCCTTCACGGCTAGCTGTAGAGCAGAGCCAAGAGAGCAGCTGAGATGCAGCTGGAGACGTTTGCAAGGTGGGGGCGGGTTGGATTTTTGAGCCCCTCGGACTCTTTTTAGGAGGGAAGCCGCGGGTTTCCTGGGGATTGCAGTTTTCCTTATCCCGCGTGGAGTTAGCGGGAGCGCTGCAGAAAGCTGAGGCCGGGTCTCCAGGTGACGTGCAGGGTCTCTCCTCCTTTCTCCATGCTTTGATTGGGGTGTTCCCCGCAGCGGCGGGGGTGGTGCTCTCCCTCCCTCCCCGGCGGCTGCCCAGCTCGCTGCCAGCCCCAGGGTGTGCAGAGAAAAACGCAACATTGCCGCTTTTCCTCCTCAAAACTCAGCTGATAGTAAGTCCAGGTGGGGACGGTTTGTTAGCCAAAGCCAGGGGATGGTCCTGAGCAGGAAAAAGCTCTCGTGCATCAAACCCTGGCAGCGCCATGACTCTAAATATCATCTCAAATCCCCAGCACACCGAGTATAACTTCCACCTGTCAGCTCGCGTTTGCGGATTATGAAGAGAGGCTGTCAAAAGTTTTCAGGCTCAGAGATTGAGCCGTGGGGTGGGAGAGCCCCATCCCACCATGTCTCCCCCCATCTAGGATGCTGAGATTCATGGCGGGGCTGGGAATGGGGCTGAGTCTGTATTTGCAGGGTGGATTGGGGAAAATTTTATCGTTCTCTGATTTGCAAAAACATCCCTATAAATTAGCAACAGCCAAAATATATTCAAAATCTTGCCTGCCCCACCCCCCCAAGTGCAGCCTCCGGCAGCAGGAAATGCACTGGGTTTGTAAAACTGTAATTGGAGAAGACCTTAATTAGAGAATATTTGCTGTGCACGGACAGGGCGGGGGAAGTGCTAATAAATGCAAAAGACAGAAAAGCAGAACTATTTTAAGACTATTTGCAAAAAAAACAAGTCATCTAAAAAGCTGCAGTGAGGTCATACGCACTTCTGTGGAGGATAGTAGAGAGAAACGGCGAGTTTGGCTTGAGAATCATGAGTATTTAAGGAATATACTGTTGGGTTTTTATTGGGCTTTTATTGGCCACTCTGTGAGCCGTTGGGATTGGTTTTCCAGGACTTCTCTGCAGATGTGATGGCTGGGAAGAGGGAATCTCAGCTTGCACTTGGAAAGGCACATAACGAGAAGCCTTTTTAAATCGATGCTCCTTCCCTCCCTTGCAATATTGGAAAGCTTCTGCGTAATTTGGAAAAGCTCGCTGTGCTGGATCCAGCCCTGGGAGCTGGGCTGGAGGTGCTGGGCAGCAGAGCAAGCTGAGCACTGCGGCGGGTGTGGAGATGTGTGATGTGGAGATGTGTGATGTGGAAACGGGATCAGCAGCTGGAAAGGAGGGGGAAAAAAAAAAAAAAAAATCCTTTTTCCTTTCTGTGGAAAATTGTCCGCAGAGAAACATAGCCAAAAGGGGAGGAAAAATGTCAATAACTGCGCCTGGTGAATGGTTCTGCCAGGAGAAATGTATCTGCTGATAGAGGCATCTGGGGAAGTGACAGCTCTGTGTGAAGGAACTGCAGGATAAGGCGGCACAAGGAGCTCAGAGAAACCTGCCCTGTAGCTCAGGGGGTTGTGTCGGTCGTGTCCCGCAGCCGAAGAGCATCTCCTGAGATCGCCTCCCTCCTCGCGGCGTGCATCGCTGCAGAGCCCCGCGCTGAACCCCGCGCCCGGCAGCGTCGGGCCGCACCGGGTCACGTGTAATGTCATTAGCAGATAAATTATATGGAAATCTGTCATCGTTGCTGGCTCTGAGCCTGGCAGCGCGGCACGGCCGGTTCAGATAGATACTGGCTCGCCAGGCCTGAACGCAGAGGGAAGCGGCGAGGGTTTGCCGGCGGGGTTTGCTTTTGGGGGGCTCCAGCAGTTTTAACAGGCTTGGTTTTGCACAGCCCCGCAGGGTTTGGTGTGTGATGGTGTGGATGGAGGAGGGTGGGTTCATCCTCCCCGCTTGGCAGTGCATTTCCAGCCCTTTCCAACAGCATTTAGCACGGGGGTGAAGCCGGCAATAAGCCCTTGCAACACCTTCCCCGTGCAGTGCTAACAAGCCCTTGCTGCAGGGAGGGGGAGCGGGGATCTGGAGCAGAAACAAGGTGCTCATCGGGAGTAATTCAAGAGGTTTCTAGATCCCTGGCAGCACATGCTTTATGCATCTCTATTGCTCCTTTTTTCTGGGCTAATTCCATCCCTTGCACATTTTTTAAAAAATTAACTAACGTCCAAATAAAATCTCATAGTGCTGCATCCTATGGTCCTCTCCTTTGCTGGGTCTGGGACTCCGTATCATACTTACAGTGTTAACACAGTTATTTTTTTTTCCCTGGCCCCAGCTGGAAGGGAATGGCTGTGGTCTGGATTTCTGATGTGGAAATCTCCGACAGCAGAAGTTGCAGACAGCTTTATTACTGCTGGGTCCTGCTGCGGGAAGGGACCGTGCCCGAGTGCCTGGGGGGACCTCAGGAGCCTCTTGGCCAGGTGACATCTATGAGCGTGTGGGCTAATGGCAGAAACCCCATTTCTGGGAAGGTTTATCCAATATGCTGGAGCTCGCCTGCGGGATTATCACGCGGAGAGCAAACCTGGTTTCTGTTTCCTTTTTGTATGCCAAGGTGGAGACCTCAGGCTGGCTTTCCCCGCTGCTCGGGAAGGCGTGAACTGACTTCATGTCTGCTCTGCAAATGAGTTGTAACCCGGTCTCCTCCTTCCCAGAGCCGTGGCTCAGAGCTGTGACCCCTCTGGGGACAGTGTTTGGGCTGGGACAAGCCTTCTGCAGAAACCCCCAGCACCTCTGGCTGGCTGCATCAAGGGGGTGGGCAGCAAAGAAATGGGTGGACGGGTGTTCCGAAAGATGGGTGTCCCAGTCGAGGAAGCCCTCTCCACCAAGTGAGCATGGGGCTCTGCACAGAAAATCTCTTCTTTCCCTTTGAAGACCCACCTTAAACTCGCAGCAGAAGTCATTGACCACCTTGTTGACCGTTGCGGGCCTGGTTTGGAAAGCCCTTGGCCTCGTAGCAGGGTGTTGCCAGGTAAATTCCCCCAAGGAGAATGCCTCACCCGATTTTTTTTTTTTTTTTTTTTTCCTGAAATTCAACATTGCACTTGAATTTCCTGCCCGCGCCGTACCTCCACACGCCTGGGAGCAAGCGCCGGCTCTGCCCAACACCCCTTAACGTTGACATCTTCAACGGCAAGATCTCCTCCGCGGATGGTGACGGCTGCGCCCCGGGCGTGCACGCGCCCGTTTAATTACAAAGCAAGGAGCGGCGCTGCAATTCCTACCCAGGGCTGACCGATTTTATGGGTTAGTCATGGTGACAATATTCAATTTCATGGTTGGGATGGAGAAACAGGAGAAATTAAGTGAATGTTAATGGGACAGGATGGTTTTACGTGTTCCTCTTGTGTGGGACATCACTGAGGCCTGAGCGGTGCCCCCCAGGACTGCCTTTCCCTGTGATAGAAAAGAAGGATATGATTCAATAAGTGATAAAGTCAGCTCCGATTCTGTTCCTGGCCTGAAAATCCACATTGCACAGGGTGAGAGAAGTTACTCGCAAGCTGAGGGGAGCCATGGGGAGCCGCTCTTTGGGAGGGTCAGAGGTGGGCTGCGGCCAGTGCCTGTGCCCTGGCTTGTGTTTGGGCTCTGCTGCTTCATCCCGGGAGCAAGAAACCAGGCAGAGACGCTGTTTCTGTGGTCCAAACATAGTAATTTTTCATCTAATATCACGGTAATCAAACTAATATCCATATGTCCTCCAAATAAACCTGGGCTAGATGGTGCAGGCACCACCACCTTATTTTCCCTTCATGTGTTATTATTAATTTCAAAGGGGGTGTGTGTGTGTTTCTGGCAACCCCCATTTTAGGGGGGGAGATGCCTGGTTTTGTCAAGCAGTAGCGAGTTCCCAGCCAGAGGCTGTTAGATGTAGAGCCCGGACAGGGGCCGTGGGGTGGTGGCACCTTTGGTGGTGGCATCGCTGGGTGGTTTCAGCCGTGCTGCTGCCCAGGCAAGGCTGTGCTGCTCAGGTTGGTGCATCGGAGCGATTAGATTTTGGCTCGTTGGGTAAAGCTGGGAACAGAAGGGACAGGGGGGGTGGGGTGGGGGAGGATTTTTTAATTGTTTTGTCTGCGAGAGGATCCCAATGTGGAGCAGGTCCCGTTACTGCTCAGTGTCTGTCATCCTTCTCCCACAGGAGCGATGCTCGGGGGACGGATCGCGTGGCAGGAGGTGGAAGCTCAAATAACGGGGAGCGCAGGTTGATGAGCGGCGCAGGCGGGGATGTGGGGGGTGGCGGGGGGAGAGCTGGGGGGGCTCACGCTGCCATTCCCAACCCGTCACTCCTGTCGCTTGCTGCCGAGTCCTGGGGTGTCTGGTGGGTGTCCCCCCCCTCCACTTCTGCTGTGTGCTTTGGGTTGGAGGGGAAAATAAATAATGCAAATAAGCTGCGTGAGAGAAATACTTTCCGCTCACGGTACGGGTTTAGGATTTCTTGCTTCTCTTGTCTTGGGTTTATGAATAGGTTGGAGGTTTTGCCAAAGCCCACCGTGCAGATGGGTTGTGGGAGAGTTTATTTAGGTATTCCTGGGGGAGGGGGGAATATAGAAACCTGGCCCTGGATCATTAAGTTAAAGAAAAATGCAATTTCACCTCCTTGGATGGCCCCGATGGACAGTGAAAACCCGCTTTATTCCTCCTTGGCTGCCCCTGCCATCACACCGTGGGTTGCAATGGCTCATTTTCCCCAACTGAGTAATTAGCTGGGCTTGTTTGCTAAGAACACATTAAGCCGCCGCACCAAGCAGTGCTCAGTCTAGGAGATGCTGGCAGCCCTAACTGCTCACTTCTGCCTAACTTTTTATTTTTCTGCTGCCTCTTTCAATTAATTTCCTATTAATTGGGTTTGGAATGAAGTTCTCAAATGACTGATAAATCCTCTTTAAGCTTAGGAGCTAATCGGTTTTGGAGGAGGGAGAGCAGCGGTAATAGAGCGGGGAAAAAAAGTACATTAATTTTAGCAAATCTCTTGAATATTAACTGAAACAAATGGTATATTGTCCTATTGGGTTAATAGGAAAAAACCTGCTCTTGCAATACCCCAAGTCCATCATTGTCTGGCAGTACAGGTTGATGTAGATATTGCTAAATATTCAACCTTGGGAGATGGTATGTACTCTTCTCCTAATAGTGCTTCTGAGCACATTTTTTTTTTTTTTTTTGGGGTGGCAAACGATGGTTTTCCATAAATCTTTAGGAACCCTGAACGCTCCCACTGAGTAAAGCAGGGTGTATGCTATAGGGAACCCCCTATTTAATTATATTCAGTAGGAGCCTTTTGTCACCTCCAGCATCAGAGAGTGCAAATGTGACTTAAACTTTTATAAGAACCTCTCAGTATCCTCGAGGAAATTAAATATAAGTGTGTGTGTGTATATATATATATATATATATATATATGTGAGTGTGTCACAAATTGTTCAAGAGCTTGAAAATAGGGGGTTTTTCAGCAGTGTGTTATTCTACGGGGATGGGACTGTCTCTGCCCAGGAAGGGCTGGGGGGGCCAAAAATTCCCCCTCTAAAGCCCAGATCAGTGATGACTGTGCTTAATGTGTCCTTGAGTCCCAGCCAGTGTGGTCGGTAACTCTGGGTACCTGCTTCTGTGGGGTCTGGCTCTCACCCCAGTATGGTTTGGTCGACTTAATTTTTCTGTTTCAACAAGTTACTTAGTTTATGGGAAATAGCTGGGTCGGAGGGAAGGTTGTTTTTAAATATATGCAGGTGATGAGAAAGTGTGAAAAATCTGGATGTGGTCTGGTCACAAATGTGTTTAGAGGGTCTCTCTAGTAATTTCCCAAGCTGGAAAAAAAGATAAGAAAGGTCCTGGTGTTGGAAGGGGCTGAGTTGTCCCGGGAGGAGCCATGTTTATTGAAGTGGGCATGGAAAAAGCAAAAGCACTCCCTGTCACGGGACAACATGAATCATTGTGGCATTTCTTAGCTGGTGTGCTGGTTTTCTGGGCTTTGCTTTACCTCCGATGCTTAATGGCAGAATAGTTGTTCTGAAGAGCTTCATCTCATGGTTTTTAACAGATAAAAACCTCTGTTGTGCCAAACATCTCCTTCTTCTTCCACTATTTGTTCTGATTTTTTTTCCCCCACATCTTTCTCCGCTAACCTGCAAGCCCTCTCCCTTCCTCACTGGCTCCATCCCAAGCACTTGTTTCATTATGTGTCTTCCCAGCACATACAGTAATACCTGTGCAGAGAAATAAGTTCTTACCCGAGTAAATCTCTCCTCGAGCCAGCGGTTGTGATGAGCTCGGTTGGGATGTGGGAAGCAGTTGAAATGAGTTATACAGAGCTGGCTGAGCAGGGGTGCTGCTCTTTAGGGGGCTGTTGCAGCACATTATGGGATGGTACGCTGTATACAGTGCTGGGTGATCCCCCATTATTAGGTTATTCTGCCTGAGGACACCTTGGGGGCTGCAGTGCACATCTAATAGTAATGTTGTCCCTGCTTACACGCAGGTGGAAATGCTTTTATTGAATATTTAACAGAAAACAACTGGGGGGACGCGGTTCCCCAGCCATAGGAGGAGGGGAGCGGAGCTCCCCAGCACGAGCTTTCCTGTGCTGGGAAAAGGCAGAGGCATGAAGCCAAAGGTACTGAAGGTGCTAATTGCACTAAGGAAATTAATTTCATTTTAAGCGTGCCACAGTAATGGTTTCCTTTTATTCCTCAGTCCAGTCTTTCTCACACGCGTCTCATCCGGAGGAGCTCAGAGGCACGTTATGGTGCGGTTTAAGCACCAAGATTAAATGGCTCGTTACAGGGGGGTAGAAAACGCAGAGTGGGCTGAAACACTCATTGTGGATTTCTTTTAATCTCATAGAAACAGGTTGGACACACGCGTGTCTGTGGAGACCGGTCCCACTCGTGATGGTGGTGTCATCTTCTAGCAGCTTTTGTAATACAGCTCTTGGTGGCTTTGGGGTTGGTTTTTCTGGTGGATTTTGGGGGGTTTAGGATTTTTTCTTTTAATATAGTGGGATGACTTTGCAAAGCTCAGCTGCTCGCAGCGCAGTGAGTGCAGGGAGTGTTGGAGGAGCAGAGAGTGTTCCTTTCATACCATCCCACTCCCTCAAGAGCAGCACTTCCTCGGTGTGGAAAAGCATGCAAAGTCTTTCCTATAATGAAAAGCAGTATTTGTATTCTGATTCCTAAATCGGGTATTATTTTGGTGGGGTGTATCTGGAGCAGGGAGCCGCAGGGCATTTCTGCAGCGCTGCCAAGCACCAGGTTCAAGGCTGGGCAAAGCATTCAGTGTGCAGAAATTACCAGAGCCCCTTGTCCCACGTGGTGTTTCTGTAATTCTCCCTGGTTTTACCAGGCTGCCAGCAAGCTGTCCCTGTGTTGGTGGTCAGCGAGCATCCCTTGGTGGTGCGTGGGAGAGGGAAAACATGAAGGTTTTGGTTTCATCTCGGGGCTGGCAAAACACCCCCATCGTATCCCGTGGTGCCTCCGCTCCCCCCAGCTCCCCGCTCTGTCCCCTTGTCCCCTCGCAGCATCCTTGGGCTGGAAGGGGACGCCCTGGGAGCTGTGCCCCGGGTTCGTGGGAGCGCAGCAAGAATCCGCCTCGCTGCTAAAAATAAACGGGTTGTGGTTTATTTATCCTGGAAAGGGAGCAGCAGGTTTTCCTGCGCCGGGCCCTGAGGCTGCAGCGTCGGTTTTGCTTCCAAATCTCCTTTTCCAGGGGCTGAGCTGCTCCGTGGAGGGTGGGCGGTGGTGAGGAGCCGTGGCAGAGGTGATGGGCGTTTTGGGGGGGGGGGGGGGGGGGTGCAGCAATGGGGATGAATTGGGTGTCTGCTCCTAGCCCAGCCCCTGGGGTTGGCATTTAGGTACTTTTTCCTCGAAAAATAAAAGAGACGGAGGCGAGGGGGCTGCCGTGCGCCCCGTGCTCGAGCCGTCATCTTTCCCCCAGCCATGAAAGCCGACCGCAAGCGCTTGAAGGTGGAGAAGACGGACCTGGTGAGCCAGATGCAGCAGCTGTACGCCACGCTGGAGAGCCGCGAGGAGCAGCTCCGCGACTTCATCAGGAACTACGAGCAGCACAGGAAAGTGAGTGCAGGAGCCCAGCACCGTGGTCTCGTGGCACGAGCATGAAACCCAGTTTGCCAGCAGGCAAAAACCCACCAAAGCCCCAGCCGGCCTCTCGCAACGGGGCAGACGCTGCCTTGTGGCAAGAGCTGGACCCACAGCAGGTTTAATGATAAATAAATAGCGGAGGAAATCGGGCCAGCGAGCCAGAGCGGGGAAGTTCGGTGTAATTTTAACCAGGTGCATGGCGGGCATCCCTTTTCAGGGGACTGGCTGTATCCCACAGCTCCCCGCTGCTGTCCTGGCCGGCACAGGGCTCTGGTGACACCCAAAGGTACCACTTGTCCTTTGGCACCGCAGCAGCCGGGGGGTCCCCGGGGGGGTTGTGGCAGAGGGGTTTGTGGGAGCGAGTGGGTTTCCCCTTCCTGATGGCCACCCCGCGTCCCGGCAGGAGAGCGAGGACGCGGTGAAAGCCCTGGCGAAGGAGAAGGACCTGCTGGAGCGGGAGAAGTGGGAGCTGCGGCGGCAAGCCAAGGAAGCGACGGACCACGCCAGCGCCCTCCGCTCCCAGCTCGACCTGAAAGACAACCGCATGAAGGAGCTGGAGGCCGAGCTGGCCATGGTGAGCTCGGAAACGCAGCAGGCACGGGGCGAGGGGTCAGCCCTGCTGCGGGCACTGGGCTCCTCGAAACGCCCCGGCGAGTTTTGCCAAAGTTAAATATTTATTGCAGGGAAGTGTTTACCGCAGCGGTTGCATTATTGCAATACTGGCAGAAAAAAAAAGAAACGCCACTGCTGGATATCCTTGACGCAGGGAGCGACGCAATTTGGGTGTTTACTTGCAAAGGGGAGGGTGGGTTTGGCTCAGCGTGTTGCTGCTGGTTCTGCCGCTCCAGGAGATGTTCATACGGTTTCCACCCCCCCCCCCCCTCCTCACCGCCACCTCGGTGTCCTCCTCCAGGCCAAGCAGTCCCTCGCCACGCTGACCAAGGATGTCCCCAAGCGCCATTCCTTGGCCATGCCGGGCGAGACGGTGCTGAACGGCAACCAGGAGTGGGTGATGCAGGCCGACCTCCCGCTGACGGCCGCCATCCGGCAGAGCCAGCAGACCCTCTACCACTCGCACCCCCAGCACTCAGCAGACCGGCAAGGTGAGCCCCCCCACCCCACCCCACTCCAGATCGGGCTGCGGGGCCAAACCCGCTTTGAGGAGCTGCCTTATTCCTCCGCAGAGCAAAAAAAAACATGGGCAAAACACCCCTGAAATAGGAAATTTTTTTTTTTTTCTTTTTGGGACGTGCATCAGAGGCTTTGCGTGGGGCCAGGTTTGCTGGCGTGATGTTAACTCCCCCCCAATGTGCCCCCCCCCTTGCCTTCCAGCGGTCAGAGTGAGTCCCTGCCATTCCCGGCAGCCGTCCATCATCTCCGACGCCTCCGCGGCCGAGGGCGACCGGTCGTCCACGCCGAGCGACATCAACTCGCCCCGGCATCGAACGCACTCGCTCTGCAACGTAAGGCACGACGGGGGGGGGGGGGGGGGGGGGGGGGGGGGCTGCCTTCTCCGCTGCGTGGGTCGCGCTGAGGGGGTGCTGCAGGTCCTCCACTTCCCAAAACAGTGTTGGTTTGGGGCTGGGGTACGGGTCGGAGGTTTGCTGACCCGCAGAGCTGCTTTCCTGGGGGGTTTAGCTCAGCCCCCCAGCAGCTCGGCTGCCAGAACAAGCCATTTTTTTGCTGCGGAGGCCGGGGGTGCCGGGCTGTGTTGGGGCTGATTCAGTTGGATCCGTCTCCTTCTGCCGCAGGGGGATAGTCCTGGCCCGGTACAGAAGAACTTGCACAACCCCATCGTACAGGTAGGACACAAAGCCCTGTTTAAATCCTGCTCGTGAGACCCACCCGGTCCTGTGCTAGCAAGTGCTCTGGGGCGGGATCAGGGGCTCCGATTTGGGCTTTTAAAGCAAAGGAACAGAAGCCATCCGGAGTTGTAAGTCTGGGATGCCTCAGATTTCTGTGATTTGCCCCCAGATCCGGGTAACACCACAGGCAGTTGCTGTGCTCGGGGCCCATCGTGGTCTTGATTTTTGTAAGGCACAGCCTAGATCAGGTTATTCTGCAGTTGACGCTGAAACATTGGGATATTTTTGCAAGCCGCGGACAGACCCTTGCTCTGATCTTGGAGCTGAATTCCTGAACCAGTTGAATTAAGAAGCCAAAATCCCAGAAATGTGGGGAGGGGGCTCAATTTCACTGTAAATTCCGCCACACAGATTTCAGGAATGGGGGGTTTTGTGGCCCAGGACCTTAATATTGCATTGGACTTGGCCCCAAATAGTTTTGGGCATGTGGACCCTGTGGTCCATCATCCCTGATGCGATTTGGGCAGGGGTGGGGTGGGGGGGGGAGGCGAATGAAAAGCTCAGTGGCCAAACCAAACCCGTGTCCTCTCCCCCCGCACCCCCCACCCTGCAGTCTCTAGAGGACCTGGAGGACCAAAAACGGAAAAAGAAGAAAGAGAAGATGGGCTTCGGCTCCATCTCCAGGGTGTTCGCCCGGGGGAAGCAGCGCAAATCCCTCGACCCCGGCCTCTTCGACGGTACGGCCCCCGACTACTACATCGAGGAGGACGCGGACTGGTGACCCCCCCGTGCCGGGAGCCTCTCCCCGGCCTCGCCGTCGCCGTGTACATACTCCCACCCCCACCCCGCCTGTGGACGTGTTACCTGTTGTCTTGGGAGCGATGCAGCTGTGTCGTAACTTCATTTTTTTTTTTTCCCCCCCACCTTCTTTTTGTGTTGGTTTTTTTTTTTTTTTTTTCCATACCAGTAACTCCTTTGTTGTCGCTTCAGTTTGTCAGTTTGGGCTGGTTTGTTTTTTTTTTTATTATTTTTGTTGGCTGTTTTTTTTTGTTGTTGTTGTTTTATTTCCTCCTTCTTTTTGACGAAACTTGAAACTTGAAGGACTGCTGTGTCTCTGTAAATACCAGAAATATTGTGCACTTTGTGCTTGTGACGTCTCTTGTCCGAAACCCGCTGTTTTCCGGAGGCCAGCCCGCGGGATGTCCTCGCTCGGGGACGAAGGACCTGCCCAGCTGAGGGACCTTAGAGAGAAAACACACACACACACACATACAAGAAAAACAAAAAATAAATCTCATTCGCTGTGATGTCTTCCTGGCCGAACCCCGCGGAGGTGACACGGGCTGGTTGTAACGCCTGCCGGTCTGGAAATAAGTGTTTTAACGTTCCTTTTTAGTTGTTTTAATTTATTTGCACAAACCCAGAGGAGCTATTCTAACTAAATTATTGCAGAAGTTTTGGGATTTTTATATTTTTCCACGTCGGTTGGGATGGGGCAGGGAGGAGGAAGGGTGTGTTTGTACTGTACTGTCCTGGGAAGCTGCTGCTGGGGGGGTCGGGGGGGGATGGAGCCGTGGACCCCCCCCCCACCCCGGGCTCCCTCGGCCCCGCGGCTGCAGATGCCCCAGGAGCACTTAACGCCTTGGAAAAAAACCTAAACACATGCCGGGAAATCAGAGGGGGGCCGGGGGGAGCTGCTGGGAGCTTCGCCCCCCCCGTTTTTGCCCACATTTGGGGGGCTCGCCCTTTGCTTCGAGTGAAAATTGGGGGATCAGGCATGAGCTGGGAGGAGGGGAAAGGCGATGTCCCGAGATATCCCTGTGTCCCGAGATGTCGCCCGGCCAGGGCTGGCCACCCCGCTCCCTTTTGGGGTGTTACCACCGGCGGGGAGGCCGGGGAAATCGGTACGAGTCCCCGCCGGGGAGGTTTTTCTGGCACCGGGGTGATTTTTAAGCGCAGGCGGAGCTTGTGCTTCCAAATCCCCTGGAAATGCCCCAAAACCACCCCCCGGCGCGGCGGCCGCTTCCCCTCTCCACTAACACGCACCGCGCTCTGCTTATGCCAAGATAAGTACCTTATGCTTTAATGCTTACAATATAATTTTAAGCTCTTAAAAAAAAAAATGTATTAAGGTTTATTTAATGATGCTATAATAGTGTATTATTTTTCTTAAATCTGATACGCGCGCCCTGGTTGAAAAAAAGGGGTATTTTGTCTTAAATCCTGGAACTAAACCGCCGATGCCCTCGCGCTGTGTATTCCTGCTACTGGGATGATGCAGAGAGGCCGTGGGGGGGGGGCGAGCGGAGGGACCAGCCCCCCCGGGCTCTGCCGAGGGGAGGGCCTGGGGTGGCAGGGGCAGGGTTTGCCCCATGGCATCTTTCTCTGCAGAGAAGCATTTTTATACGTTCCGTTGTTTTGGGGGTTTTTTTGTTGTTGTTGTTGCGTTTTTATAATTTAAACTATAAACCACCAGAACAGATGAGCAATCTCCTTGTTACCGAGTAGTTTCCTTTGCATTTCAGCTTTTTTGTAAATTAGGAAATAATTCTAAAAATTACTAAGAGGATGATTTATTTAAAAGAGAACTTCGATAAATAGCATATGAATTATGGGTAACATTAGATTTAACTTTTCCCCACGTGGGTGGGGGAGAATCCTTGAAGGCATGGATGCAAATATAAAATTATAAAAGATCTAAATAAAGCTTATTTTAAAGTACGGATGAGCTCCACGTGATTTAATTGCTTGTCAGATGGAGATCCTGGCATCAGCGGTGGCACGTGGGCATCTCCCTCGTGGCACCGGGCACGAGCTGCTGTGTGAATGGGGGGATGCGGGTGGGATGCAGGAGGAGGCTGCGTCCCTGGACCAGCTGCTGAGTGAGCGCTCGCGCCCGGACACGGCGATGCTGGCGGGAGGCTGGGGCCATCCCTGCATCCGTGTAAAATGGGGATTTAAGGTAAGGAAAGATCTGGGAATGTGGGGGAGCAGCCCTCAGGTATGGAAGGTGTAATGCCAAGGACCAGGAAAAGCAGGTGGGACGGAGAAACGAGTGTTTGTGCTGTAATGCTTGTCAGTGGCTAAATTATTGTTACTAATTTACAGGGGGATAAGTGATTATTAATTTGCAGGCGGTGTTTGGTCACTTGTAGGGTCGTGCCAGCGCTTCCAGCGGGGCCTGACGCGGCGGCGGGGCTGACGGCCACGCTCGCAGGCGGCAGCGAAGCGGAGGGCGGCCGGGTCGGAGCCCGCGGGTGCGGCGGAACCGGGCGGCCGGTGCCGTGGTGTGGTGGTGGTGGTGGTGGTGGTGGTGGTGGTGGTGGTGGTGTGCCTGGGGGGAATATGGGGCGTCCTGCAGGGAAAGCTCCCCCAGACCTCCTCTCTGCAGCTGGGGATGCTCAAGCTACAGTCAACCGGGGGGGGAAAAAACAAAGCAACATTTCAGACAAGACCTGCAATGATTTTCTGTTTTTCAAAACCATAATGAGGGCATAGATGAAGAGATAGACCTTTTTTTTTTTTTTTTTTTTTTTTTAACAGAAACGTCCTTCTGAGTTTGTGAGCAGCTGCAGAGCAGGTAAGAGCCACCACAGTCTGAAACGGGGATTTTGAGCAAAAAAAAATAGACACGAAAATGGTTAGTAGCCAGCTGGCTATCCAGCTCTGTCACCTGAAGCTGAAATGGGAATCAAACATCGCATTAAAGTGTAACTATTGAGAGCGAAGAGGTGATCCAGGCACAGACCATGGCGGGGGTGGGGGGAGGGTTGCCGCACTCAGAGCGGTTCACTGCAAATATTTGGTTTTGCCCTTTACTTGCAGCGTGCGAGGGAGGGGCTGTGGGTGCTCGCCCACCCCACCCGTGGTTTTAAAAGCTCTGGGTGCCCTTCGGCACCTGTGGGTGCCGTGGGGACTGCACTGGGTGTCATCTTCGGCGCCAGAGCTGGTTGCAGCCGGGATGAGCAGAGGGGGCTTGTTCCCTGCGGCCCGTGGGTGATGTCCCGGGCTGAGGGGTGACTTTGGTGGCTTCAACCCCACCTCCCCACCCTGCATTTCCCTGGCAGCGGAGGGGCAAGGCAAGCCAGGGCTGCAGGAGCCTGTCCCTGCTGCACGGCTGCTGCATCCCCGCTGCAGCGTGCTGCGATGCTGCCATCGTGTGAGCAGTCCCCGAGCCACAGCCGGGAGCGCAGGGGACACCGCGGCCACCTCCGTGACCCTTGTGCCCACGCTGCCTCCCCACTGCCCCGTTAGCCAAGGGCTCGTGTGGCCAGTTGATGCCCAAAGTCAACGAAACACACACCCCTCCCTACACAGCACTCCGGGCTGAAAATAAGACTCCTCCGTGCCTTAGAGGTGCAGGAAGCAGCCCAACAAATGCAACGCGAGGCAAGATTTTAGGCCCAGCTCGGGGTGTGTTTGTTTTAGGTCTGACTGGCGGTGTTTGTGCACTTTGCACCGATAACGTTGTTGTGCAGACGGAGTCACAAGCGCGTTTCCCCGCTGAGGACTTTAGACCGAGAAAGGAAAATATTGCAGCTCCGTGCCGGGGCATGAGGTGGTATGCCAGGACGGCCGGGGGGCACTGGGAGACTGCTGTGCTCCTTCACTGGTGTGTAAACAAGCCGTGCTGGTCCTGGCGTCGTCTTTGGGTGACGTGACAACTGAAACTGTGCTTACCCGTCACGCCACGGCCGTGCACTAATAACCTGTAGAGCAGGAGCGGGTTTGAGAGGTTGCAGGGGTGAGGCCTGAGGAGGTTTCCTGCCTTGGCACAGGCTCACCCCATCGCGTTGGGCAGGTGAGCTCACCTCCCTGGGCTGTATTTTTTGCATTAAAGACCTAAAGCTGTGTACACTAAACAGCTGAATAAATCATCAGGATGGCTGGTGGGTTTGGAGACGTGGCCACTCACAGACTGTGGGTGACGGGGGACACGAACGGTGGCATCTCCCCAAACGCTGGTGTCAAGGGCCACTGCTGAGGCTGCTGGTTTATTGCTCGGGATCGCTGAAAATTTGGGAGCGTCCCTGTTGTTTATTCACCCGTTTTCAGTTTCCCTTGAAGGCGCCTTCTACTCTTGCTGCTTTCTCTGTACGAAGCCAAGGTTGAGAACACCTTTGAGTCCTCTCCTGCGCAGCCCGGGGGATGCAGCAGTGCCTGACAGCATCCCATCCCTCGCCACTACCATCCCGCGTGGCCTTTGGGGCACCCTGCTCTGCCGAGTGTCCCTGCAGCCGTGCCCCGTTTCAGTCCTTGGCTTCCCGCTGCCCCGACCTGATGCAGGGGCACAGACCGAGCTGCTCCGCTCCATCCAACCGGGGCACGAGCTGCGATCAGGCCCTGTGTCCAGGTAAGAAGTTTTCCTTGGAGTTTTATCATCACTAGCGAGTGATTGCCCAGCATTTTCCCAATCCTGGGCACAAAGCATCACTGATCATCTGCTCCTAATTCTGCAAAGCTACGTTAAACCTCTGCTCAGCTCTTTTAAATACTCAGCCACAAGACACCACCATAGCTCTTCTCTTCCCGCCCCGTTATCCTCAATTCCTGGATCTCGTATTCCCAAGCCTTCTCTTGCGCTGATCAAGCCACTCGCTTCCCAATTTTCCGAGGAAAACGAAGCAGCTCCTCAACCCCCTCTCACGCCTTGCTCCGGCAGCGAGGGGGGTCCCTGCCCAGCCAAGCCGCGCTTTGGCAAGGCAGGGCCAAGCCAGACCGCCACAGCTGAGACGCCGCAGCCCCGGAGGGAGCTGTGGGTTATTTAATATTATTAACACGGCAGCTTTACTTACGCTCTTTTCCCGGTTGCGGACGTGCGTGTGCTTGAAATGGCAGACGGCGACCTGGCGCGGCGGTCGGACTGGTTGTACTGGACCCGCTGTCCTCCGCGCCCCGGCCCCCCGGCCCCCCCCGGCCCCCCCCGCTCCCCGCACCCTCTGAAACCGGCTCCTCGCCTCGCCGGGGAGATGCCGGCAGGTCGCATCCTCCCACCGGGCGAGCGCAGGGTTGTGCCAAGCAGGAGCGTGTGTAAATGCCTTCCAGGCAGATACTTTTCCTCCCCCTTTTTTTTTTTTTTTTTTTTTTTTCCCCCCCCCCCAGTTGCATGGCAGGTTCCCAGTCTGCAGGCCTGGCAAGCGCTCTCTAAATCGGGGTATAGAAACCGATGCACGGGGAAAAGAGGCACCAGTATAGACCAGTGTGTGCAGACTGGGATGCGAGGGAGCCCATCACGGAGCAGGCTGGGATGGACTTTCATCCCGGGGGCAAAGCCAGGGCCCTGCCATGCTCCATGTCCCCATGGAAAACATCAGGAAAACTAACTGGGGCTGGGAATTTGGGGCCAGGCTCCGGCTTATGGGTGCAGCCACCACAGCGGCTTTTGCTGCTGGGCTGGGCAATGGGGCAGCAATTAATGAGCACAGCCAGGGAAAGATGGTTTAATCGGTACTCGGGCTGTCCCAGGATCCCCTATTTTGTTCTCAGGGGCTGGTTGCTGGTGCAGCTTTGCAGCCCACGTGCAGAAATTCACCTTCCCTGCTGCCAAGTGCTGGCGACCTGCTTCTCAGGTGCAAGCGCCTGGGACAACACTGTCCCCCAGCCTGGGGGGGGTGGAAAATCAAACCTCCCCCCTGCTGAAAGGCTGCACTGTCAAGGGAAAGGGCAGCTCAGGGGCTGTAGGTCTGGGGAGATGGAGGGAGTAGAAACCTGGGCATCCTCCCCAGCCCCAGATGTGTTAAAGTTCTGGTGCTAATTAACTGTAAAAAATAACTCTCTGTATTAATAGATATGCAATCTGGTGGCTCAGCTGATTTGACTCAAATGAATGGGCTTTTCTTCTTCCAGGACAACCTGTCTGGCTGCAGGTATGCAGGAGTGGCGTGTCACCCGGAGCAGCGGTTTTGGCTTGCTGTTGGAAAGGTTTGGAGGAATCCCGGGAGGTGATTCGCTCTGGGCTGGGCTTTGCAGTGGTGGTTTTTAGCGTATGTGCTGAGCACCTTCCTTTGAGCAGAAAAAAGCAGGGGAAAACTGCCGGCGAGCAATTTCTGCCGCTAACACCGGGTAACATGAGTCCCTGGCATCTCTGCAAGTACCAGAGCATCAAATGCCCCTCTGAAAGGCCCTTTTGTTGCCTGCTGATGGCTCCGGTGGGGCTCCTGTTTCCTCCTTGGTGTTCCCGTCCAAGCAAAGCCTTTATCCCACATATTTGGCTGGATAAACACCCTGGAGAGGTACCAGCCTGCCCCAGACTGGGCGGTGAGTGTTTGCAAGGGGAGTATTTGAGCTGTTTGTAGATAAATACCCACGCCAAGCTGGCTGCTATAGCTAGAAAGGCAAATGAGCCTAACAAACGCATGTAAATGCATTAGCCCCCAGCGAAGTGCATGGCAGGGAAGGCAGGTGTATTAGCAGCCATCCGGGCTCTGCCCTTCGAGGGATGTAAGCGAGCCCCCCCTTAATTTAAGGATGAGCAAACCAGTCTGAGTCAGCATCATGAGGGGTGAGGAGAAAGAAGTATGCTCCAAAGGGAATGACTGAGCCAAGGGGGAGCTGAAATGGCTTGAGCGTACCGATGCTGAAACGTGCAGCTGGCTCGCCCAGCCCGGTGGCCCCAGAAAAGGCCATTTCTGGCCAATATTCAGCTTTGCAGTGTGGGAGAGCGGGAACACGAGGAGCTGCTTTATGAATGTCCCCTCTGTGTTCACGGTCTCCAGGGTCCCTTTGCAGGGTGGTTGACCTTGCTCTGGCTCAGGCTGGGCTCTCCCCACACACAGGATTGGTAATAGTCACTGTGTAAAGTGCATTTTCCCCCCACTTTCTCACAGCTAACCTGCAGAGAGAACAATTCCCTGCTATAGCTACCAACTGCCAGAGCAGCTGGAGACAACAGGTTTGTCTTTGATACAGAAAGGTACTGTGGAGAGGGGAAGGAGTGGGGAGAATTTGAGTAGGTGGCCAAGCCTGAAAATGCAAAACAATCTGTACAAGATAAAAAAAAAAAAGAAAAAAAAAAAACAAAACAAACAAACAAAAAAACATATGCAGATGTATTTTTTTTTTTTTTTTTTTTTTTTTTGTAATTGCATGGTTCTCAAGATTGGCCTTTGATTAGAGAAGGAAGGTATGGTGAGCGGGGAAGGTTAGCGCTGCTATGCACCGGGAGGAGGAGCCGGGGGCAGGTGAGTCAGTGGAAAATACCATCGGCTCCGTGCAGGATTGTGCTGCTAGGGAGAGATGCAGGGAAATGTCGGGGTTTCCACCCCACATCCCAAGCACTGGTGACCCCAAGGCAGGGCTGCGGCGTGCTGATTCACACAAGGGGATGTGACAACTTGTGTTGGGTTCGTGATGGCTTTTGCCTTCGCAAGGACTTGCAGGGCTTAAGGGACAGGAAAAACTGCAGTGGCTGGTCCAGCAAGTATAGTAATGCTGCTTTTTCACTCGTGGTTGGGAAAAACCCACCTTGAGTGTCGTCTCCGACAGAATTTGAGTCCTTGGTGGTGTTTATTACTACGGCCTGGAAAAACACATCTCAACTGCTGCTGGGTCGGCAGCCGGGGAGAGGTGACACTGGACAGTAATTGTGATGGGGTTTGCCAAAACCCAGCTGCAGCCTGTGCCGATGCCCCTGCCGTGCCAGTGCTTAGGGACACGCTCCCAATTTTGGAATTATCCTACGTATATGGCATGGAAAGATTGCTTAGTCGCCTCACAGATACGCAGAGGTTCCCCGCCTCCACACGCCAGAGCAGCCCCTGACCCCGTCCGTAACTGCGGCTGTTAATTGTTTGTTCGTAACGTCCGACCACAGAGGGGGCAGGAGCCTTGCGGGTCTGTCTCTGAGGTTCAGCCTGGAAACCACGAGACTGTCTGGCTACGAGGCCAAGGCACGTGGCCAGCAGCCCGGGCGAGGGCCGTACCCGGAACAGCTTTTCCCAGTAAGCGGGTGGTTAACTGGGAGAGTTTATAGAGGGCAGCAGCCTGATAAAAGCGCTTTCCGGGCTCGTTTTGAACACAGACCGGGCTCTGTGGGGATGTTGGCTTTGCCCCGCTGAACAGAGTGATGAGCCCTGGGAGGTTGTGGTCCCTCAAACACGGGGCTCCTGCAGTTGGTGCTCGGAGCTGCTCGTTTGAGGAAGGGCTCTGCTCGTCGGAGCGAGCCGGTTTCATAATGCTGTGAGCTGGTTTTTGAACCAGCAGTGGGGACTGTGATGCTTGGACCCTGCTCGGGGCGGGTGACACAACCTGCGGCCCGAGCTGCGACCCGCACCTGGGACGAGGTGTGGGAAAACATACGGTTTTTATACATTGCATGCTGGATTGTAGGAATTGCAGGACGGAGGTGCTGCAGGAGCAGTCTCCGGGGTGCAGGGACCCCCGGGAAGGAGGCAGGCTGGAGTCTGTCCCCTGCACACCTGGGAAGCGTGGGAAAAGGAACAAATTTTGCTTGCTTGCCACCGCAGCACATCCCTTTCCTGACTGAGCTCGCTGCTGCTGCGAAGCGCGGACCTTCTGGAGAGAAGGGGAAGCAAAATCCGCCTTCGCAGTTCCCTCCTCCCCCCCACCCCTGGCTTCCTGAGAACTTTTAGAAAACCCCGAAAGAAAGCAGAGCCGCGGAGAGGGGACGGAGGAGAGCGGGTCGCTCAGGATCAGCCCGGTGGGGCGGCTAAAAACGGGCTTCCCGGAGAGCAAATCATCCTCCCGGCTCTGCAACCGCCCGCAGCCGGGAACGCCTGCAAGGGGAGGGGAGGGGAGCGGGGGGGTCCCCGCTGTTTTTCGGGGTGTCTCCTTCTTCCCGGCTCCGGGGCCGGGCCCTGCAAGCACCGCCCCGGGAGGGCCGGGCAGGGCGGCCCGGGAGGGCCCGGCCCGGGAGGGCCCCGCTGCCGCCGCCGCCGCCGCTACCGGGGGAGGTAACGTGGGGCCGGGCCGGGGGCGGCGGGACCCCCGGCCCCCGCCGAGGGGTGGGACCGGGGCCCGGGATCGGGAGGGTGTCGGAGCCGGGACCGGCTCGGGCTGGGCTCGATCCGGCGGGGACCGGGGCAGGATTAGACCTTGGGCAAAGCTCAGGACCGGGACAGGAGCGGGCTGGACTCGGCTCTAGGGTGGGGGGACGGAATCTGGCTGGATTCGACCCAAGGTGGGGGGGACAGGACCCAGGGTGCGGGGACAGGACCTGGCTGGACTCAGACAGGACCCAGGATGGGGGGACAGGACCCAGGATGGGGGGACAGGACCTGGATGGGAGGACAGGACCTGGATGGGAGGACAGGACCTGGATGGGGGGACAGGACCCAGGATGGGGGGACAGGACCTGGCTGGACTCAGACAGGACCCAGGATGGGGGGACAGGACCTGGATGGGAGGACAGGACCTGGATGGGGGGACAGGACCCAGGATGGGGGGACAGGACCTGGCTGGACTCAGACAGGACCCAGGATGGGGGGACAGGACCCACGATGGGGGGACAGGACCTGGCTGTTTTCAACCCAAGGTGGGGGGGGATAGGACTCCGGATGGGGGGACAAGACCTCGCTGGACTCAGCCCCAGAGTGGGGGTCAGGACCTGGTTAGGATTAGTCCAGCGGTGCTTGCAGCTGGCTGGACCCCAGTGCTGGGGCAGCTTGCTGGAATTGGGACTGCCTGGTGTGGGGGGCCATGGGGGGCTCCAAGTGTGGCCCGTGGGAGCAAGAAGCCCCCAGGTGCTGGGCAGAGCTCAGCAAGGTGAAACCCCCCCGGGGGAGGCTGTGGGGGAGCACCCCCAAGCCAGGGTGTGGGTGCTAGAGGGTTGGGGTGTCAGGATTTGGGGAGCGGCGGAGTCATGGGGGTCACCTGTTTGTGGGCTTGGGGCACCCCATCAGCCCCTGCGGGTATGGGGGGGGCCTTCGTAAGAGCGGGGAAAAGAGCAGCAGTCCTTTTGGGAAGGATCGGCTGCAGCAACGTCAGTGTCAGGAGGAGGGGAGGGTGTGGGATGAGCCCCACGCTGGACCCACCGGTGCCTTTGTGGCCGGTTCCCACGGCTGGCAGCGTGGCAGGGGAGTGACGTATCACGAGCCCGTTGCCTGAAGACGTTAGTCCCCAGAAGGGTGCAAGGGACGGCGTGTGCATGAGGCTGTTTGGAAAGCAAACAAAGGCAAAGAGAGAAGGAAACCTGTGCGGGGCAGGTCCGTGCTGGGCAGTTTATGAGCTGAACATTGATCAGCAGGGTTTCAGTTCTCCTTATCGTGCCGTTCCTGCAAAAGAAATAGCGGCCTGGAGCTTTGAAGGGCTCCGGCAAACCTCCAAATGTCTCCTGGGTGTTGGTTTAGAAAGAAATCCCGCCGTGAAAGCAAGTCACCAGCTGCAGGGGCGGGGGGGGAGTTGGGGAAGCCACGGCCCCCAGCGTGTGCGGTTAGTCACCCGAGGTGTGCGCCGGGTTGGCACGCACCCTCCTTGGTGTGTTTCAGGATACAGGTCATGACAGGCACAATTCGATTTAGGAAGCTCCTCTCTCTGCTTGCTGCGATGATTAATTCCCACGTTGTCTTGAGGGGCAAAGGAGGAACTGCCGTGTCCTTGGTTTGGGAGGCAAGGTCAGGTAGGAAGCCCCATCAGGTGGGTGTTTCTTGGGGGCTGCGAGTTTTGGTAGCCCGGTGCCGGGGGCTGGGAGGGGGAGGAAGACTGTCGGCCCCACTCCACCCGTGCGAAGCGTGGCCTCTGTCAGCCCCGTGCTGGGACTCCTAACTGCTGCTTTATTGCCATTATTGCTGACAGCTTTGCCTGGGTGGGTTTTTTCCTCTCTAAGCCAGCTCTGTGTGTCAGGTGCAATCCCAGTGTGCGTTTTCCCCATAATGGCTTAAAAACGGGCTGTCTCGGGCATCACGGCACACCCAGGGCCGGTGTGACAGACGTAGGTTGGGGGGCCTTGCTGTTGCAGAGGTTACATGCAAAGGGACCCCATGTTGGGGGTCACCCGTGCCCTGCTGAAGCTCCCCAGGTCTTGGGGAGCATCTCTGCCACCCCGAAGCGGTTGTCTGCGAAGAGGTTGGTGTTTGCTTTTTGGACGTGACGCGGTGGGGGTGTGCGTGTGGGGAGGTGGAGGCCCTGTGAGCAGAACTCAGCCGTCCTGCGGGCACGTCCCGTGGGAGACGGGGCTGCCCTCGGCTTTGCGTGGTGGAGCCTGGGTGAGGTGAAGCTGCACCAGGAGGTGTGGCCCCGGCTTTCAGGCTCCTTAAAGCTCCTCCAGTGCAGACCTCGATGCGACGCTGTGGCCACGCATCCCTCTACAGCATAGCTGAGCATCCTGCAGCCACCCAAAGCCCTGGACATCTTGGTGTGACAGCCGGAGAGGGAAACCTCCCAGGTGGCAACGAGGAACGTGTGGGTGTGGGGCTGGTGAACCCAGCCCTCAACCGAAGCGACTCGGAAGTATGCAAGATGCCTTTCATTTTATTTGTGGGTAATTACACGGGTGGCAAAATCCTCAGGGAGGGAGGTGCCTGGGGAAAGAGGAATGTTTGGCCGTCGGTGCCCTGAGGACAGCTGAGTGTCGGGGACGCTTCTCCAGCAGCCCAGGTACGTGTCCATCTCCCGAACGCTTGCTCAATGCATTTCTTGTTCCCAGTGTGTGTATTAGGCAGAAACTGGTGTCGAGGCGCTGCCGAAGCAGCTGAATATCCTGCGTGAGCTGTGCAGGTAGCGTGCAGCGGCAGAATCCCCCTGGCAAAGCTCCATCCCTATTAAAATACCTGTGCTCGCCTCGCTGAACACTGCTGCTTTGTGCCCGGCCACCGCGCGTCGCTTGGCTGCCCGGCCGGCCCCATTCCTCCCCCCTCCATCGCCCAGCTCTCCTTTTCTGCCCCGTTGGCTTCTCCGTGCAGTGGGTTTTGTTTGTGGGCCTTGCTCATCAGAGAAAGCTGTTTGAAAAGTGCGGGGAGAGGCGATGCTGTGCCGGGATGCAGCGAGGAGGATGTTGCTGAAAATCCAGGCTGAGGATGAGGAAGGTGGCACTGGTGAGGCCGATGGCAGCGTGGCATCTTGGGTTAGTAGCTTGCAGCGAGGGGAGATACCTCCCGTGGTGTGACAGGAGCTGCTTAAAGCACTCCAGGAGGGCTGGGAAGTGTTCTGAGGCAGCGGGAATGCCGGATTTGGCTTTGGAAGATATCAGAAGGGCAGATGGATGATGTCCAAAAAGTGTTGAAAGGCTCCAGAGGAGGAGAGTGTGTTATCCGGCACGGAGAGGGGGTGAGATCACAGACCAAAAACCGTGGGAAGGCTGCTGGGGGGAATGGCTTTATCTCGGCAGGAAACAGCAGATTAGGAAAATTAAAAAACAAAACAAAACAAAACAAAAACCCAACCAAACACAAAGGTGCAAAGCGGAGTCAAAAGGAAAGGAGGAAGGAGACAAAGTCAAAGTGCTGGGATTTTCCCAGGCTGGTGTGCTTTCCCAGGCCTGGGCGCACAGGGTAGGCTGGCAATTCAACTCCCTTTTCTAGCCCAAAGAGAGGCAAATGCCCCAAAATCCCTCATCTCTGGCTTAGTAGAGCCTGGCCTGGAGGTGTTAGGTTGGCCTCAGCTGCATGTGTGAGCCAGGCTGGGGGAAAGCTCAGCGGGCTGGGACACGGCGAGGGCTCGCCGACCTCCGGTGCAGCCTCAGTGACTGCGGCAGCGTTATCCCCAGGAATAAATGGCAATGTCCTTAAATCTAAATTGAAAAGGACTCTTTGTCCAAGTCCATTACTGGTTTGCAGCAAGCTCTGCTCTGGTGACCGTAATGAAATTACGGGGAGAGTAAGAGTCTGGAAGGCAGTATCCCGTACATCGATGGCAAAGTTCAGGCTAATGGCCGGCTGCTTGATGATTAAGTGATGATTAAGGCTCGGGGTTTACGATTACTGGGGCTTGTGTGATCTGTGCCAGTTCTTAAACTGGTGGCGCCTTGATTGCCCGCCTGTGTCCGGCGTCGCAGAGGAGGCAGCGGCGGGGGCAGATGCCCTCAGCTGGAGCAGGGCCGGGCGCTGCGTTGTGCAAACGGGGCGTTTTGCGAGCCCCGCCGCGGTTATTCGGCAGCCCTTGGCGTGGCCGCGGCGGCCGGCCGGGTGGATTGCAGCATCCTGAGCCCGGGAGTGGGCCGGGCAGCCCTTGCTTTCCCGTGACACCCTTGTTTTGCAGGAAGCCGGGGGCCCTGGGCTCCCCTCCGGGGTGGGGGGGGAGCGCCTTGTGCGGAGTTTTAAGAAAACACGGCTGCTCGCCTGGTGCTGTCTGCAAGAGTGCAGTCGAGGAGGAGTCGTTAAAAATAAAATTTAAGGAAAAAGAATGTGGAGGAGCCCTGATAGTCTGCACGGGGCTGTCCCTGCGGGTTTCTGTATTCCCTGGTGAGACGCTCTAAAATGGGCTGGGTATTTGTCCAAAGGAAGAGGGAATTGGCCAAATGGGCGGCAACGCTGCTTTTCCGAGCTCGGCGGGATATCTCTGGGTATTTCTCTCCCTGCTGGGGCAGGGGAATTCCCCGCATCCCCTGAGCTGCATCTGGCCAGAAACATCCTTGCTGCTGGGGCAGGTATCATTTGAGCAGCAAGAAGGGCCGAAAAAAAACATAAAATATTGCCTGAATCCTGACCTGCTGGTTTTCTGACTCCACATGGAGTTTTGTGTTGCTGGTGGGTTGAACCCTCGTGTATTAAAAAAAAAAAAAATATATATATATATAAAATAGATTTCTTTTCCCCCAAATATTTCCAGAAAGTTTGTTCTCGTGTTGCACGACTGGTGCTGGAGTTGCAGACTGGTTTTTAGAGGCAGGGTCCAAGGGGACGTGTCTCGCCGTGGCAGTGAGCTGCGAGCCGTGCGTCGTGCTCCGACGACTCCTCGGGAGCGAGGAAGCCCTGGAGCTCAGTCTGAGCGAGCTCGTCCCGTGCCCTGTGACTGCGTCGGGGTTTGACCTGTTCCCCGAATTTGCAGACTCACCTCTCGTGATCCCATGACACAGGTGCTGCTGCTGGAGCATGAGCGGGGAGGTGACGTCGTGGGAGGGGAAAAATCCAAAGGTTGCGGAGGGCAGAGGAGCGTGGGTGCTGCCGTGGGCAGCGATGGGTGTCGTGCTTCCTCGTGAGTCACCCCGCCGGGGTTGGCGTTTCATCGGGAGCGTGAGCCGGGGCTGACTTGGTTTGGGGGGGGGGGGTCTGCACCCCCCACGGTGGGACCCTTGTTGCGGAGGGGAAGATGCTATCTGCTGCTGCCCTGCCAGGGTGCGCGTGTCAAAAGCCGTCGGGGTACGTCCGGGCGTGTTGGCGTGTGGTGCTCGAGAAAGGGCTTATCCCGAGCCCTCCTGGGCCAAATTAACAGTTGGAAATGTCCCAGGAGAAGTCACAAAGCGTCCCTTGGCTCCGGCAGCCGACGGGGAGCCGGTGAGAGGTGCGGGAAGCCCGGTGGAGCGCGGAGGAGGTGCAGGTGCCCCCGGCTTTGCCAGCCGCGCCGGTGGAGTTTAATGATTCGGAGATCCTGGTGTAAATCATTGCCAGGGCAGCGCAGGGCCGCGGGCGGGCGTGGGCCGGGGTGAAGGTGGGTCTGGCTGCAGGGTGGAGGGAAGGGGACGTGGGCTGGAGCGTTTGGCCACCACTCGCCCACCTGGTAGAGGGGGGAGGTTGCCAACAGGAGCCGTGGTTCTGTGACCGGGGAGCAAGGAGAGAGCAGGCTCGCCTGATGTGGGGTGAGGATGGTGAGTCAGGGCTGGGTGCTCGGGGTTCTGCACAGTAGGGGAGAGCACAGTGGAGCAGTTGTGGAAAACAGGAAATTGTGGAGGAAAAATCCCTCGAGGATTAGTAAATGGGTGCAACCACAGAGCAGGGAATTCCTCCGCTGCTGAATCGGGGAGGACGGCACTGGTTTCTGTGGTGCTCCACCCCATCTGCTCGGGACAGCCGCGGCAGATGCCAGCCTGGAGATACCGGCCGCAGCGAGATTTTGGGGGTGAGTCGGTGGTTGGTTTGGGGCTTTCCTGAACCCTCAAGTTGCAGTACCCTTTCACCGTGCTGACTGGTGTCCATCTCGGCGGGGCCGGCCCCAGACAGCACCAAGGATGCTGAACCCGAGGCAGAGGTAGCAGCAGCTCTCATCTCTGGCCGCTGACGTCAGGGTTATTGCAAAAGCAGCGATAAGAGCTCACTCTGGAAAGCAGAAAGAAGAGCTAATTCAATGGAGAGACAGACTTGTATGTCAAGTCTCCTGCTTTAATCTGATTTCCTGGGCTGCAGGGTAGCACAGCGAAGGATCTGCGTAAAACTTTCAGGAGCAGAGATGATGTAGAAGCTTAAATCCTGCCCGCTTCCAGGGGTGAGGTGCCCAAGGGAAGCCGGAGAGATCAGGAACAGGCAAGGAGGTTTAAACACCACAGGTAAGGGTTACCAGCCCTGCGTGTTTTCTGTGCCCACCGTGTGTGCAGTGCAATTTTTTCTGCCCCAAAGCCATCACAGCGGTTTGCAAGTGAAATGTGGGCTGGCCGATGTCCGTTTGTGAAAAGCCTTGCCAAATAGCATGGGGATGGGGAGCTCATTTGGATAAATAGGGAGAAACCCAACAGCCACCTGGACAGTTAAGGTGGCTCTCGGGATGTCGGTGAGGATCTTTCGGATGTGGCATTTGCTGCATCCTCAGCAGCTCCTTGCTAGGACCGAATTGAAACCGGGGGCAGGTTAGGGGGGCAGGCGTGCGTGTCTTTTCCTGCGAGAGGCTGGAGCTGGTCTGGTTTCTGGGAATGCTAGTTTATTCTGGCCCTTGACCCTGCAAACTAGGCTGAACAAGCAAACATGAAGCTTGGGACCATTGAACCCGACGGCCACGCTGGAGGGTGAGGGGTGTATACGGAGACAGCACGCAGCAGCGGCGTATCCAAGCTTGGAGAAGCCAGGGCTGGGGAGGAAAGGAGGAAAGCCCGGCACGTTTGGGCGGCTGCATGCTGGTTTTGGCCCATGCGTAAAACTGGGAGGCGGCTGCAAGGCTGGCTGGGGTGGAGGCGGGGGAGCTTTGCTGCAGGGACTCGAGCTACTGGCCCGTGGTTTGCAGCAAGGGGTTGCAAGCCGAGGTCAGGGAGGCGAGCGGGCAGGAGATGCGGTTCCACGTGTTTATTTTTGGAAAGCGCGCACGTCTGGGCCTGGCGACTCCCGGAACGCAGATAATTCAGTCAGGGAGGTGGAGGAGGAGTTCCCACCCGTGACCCAGCCAGTGGGGAAGAGCAGCCCTCGGGTGGCTCCGAGCCCAGGGCGGTTGCAGCCAGGGGACTCACCGCCAGCGTGTGTTAGTCTGGAGTGGGCAAGCACTGGCCAGAAACAAGCCGTGGGCTGTGCCGAGGACTTGGATTTTGGAGCAACCCTTGCAGGCAGCGGTGGGGGGAAGCCGCGGGGCTGTTTTGGCTGGGAGAGCAGCAGTTTTGCTTTCTTTTCTCCAGGCAGGGAGGCGTTGCAGGGCAGGCAGCCAGCACCGCAGGCAGCCCTGCTCCATCTCAAACAGGAAGAAAAGAGAAGTGGTACAGCTAGAGATTTGTTTCTGACCTGTTTCTGGTTAGTTTGCATTGACAACAGCTGTTTGTCTAAGGCAGCGCAGCGCCATGAAGCGTGGAGTGTTTCCCTAAGCAGCAAAATTTATTTTGGGGGCATCTTTTTTGGGTGCTGTGAAGAGGTCCATGATCGCGCTTCTAAGGATGGTCAATGTAAATCCTTAGCAGATGTTAGTAATTTGGTTCTTTCCTAAGGTCTGTGGATATTACAGCCGAGAAACCAGTAAAGGGTCAAATTCAGATTTGATGTCTCAGTTCGATGGGATCCTGCGATGCTCAGGAAGTTGGAGATTTTGGATCGCCACAACCGTTTTGCTGTAGTTTCTGCAGCGCCGCAGGAGTTTTGGGAAGGGCTGGAGAGGAGCCTCCCCTTGCCCTGCGGCACGTGGTTTGTGTAGCGGCTCGGCAGAGAGGGAATCGCACCCAGGTGCAGTGTAACGTGTCCCGTCGTGCAGTAGCTGGATGAAAGCTTCTTGCAAAGGTGGGAAGAAGAAAGGAGAGAGTCAGTGGCACTGCTTGCCTGAAAGCGGCAGGGAGGGGACCAGACGGAGCCTGGGATGGATGCTGCTGCCCAGGTCACGGTGAGAGCGGCCAGCAAGAATCCTGCTGCTGCCGCCTGCCATGCACTCCCCGTAGGCACGGTGGAGTTAGATTTCCAGCATTAGTGGATATAAGGTGATGTTATTTTGGCCACTGAAACTGCAGCCTCGTAGCTTTTGCATCCCTCCATGCGCTAACCATCCCTTTCCATCTCTCCCCAGAGCCTGCCGTGGGAGGGGGCCGCACGCATGCTAGCGGGCCGGCACCCCCCGCACCCCGAGCCATGCTGTGAGGTGGGGGCAGCCCGGCCGGCCGGCCAGCAGCGGGGGCGATGGCCCAGTCCCGGGCCAACGGCTCGCACTACGCCCTGACGGCGATAGGGCTGGGGATGCTCGTCCTCGGCATCATCATGGCCGTCTGGAACCTCGTCCCCGGCTTCGGCCCCGCCGACAGACCCACCGCCCACGGCGGGAACAGCAGCAAGCCCGACCGCGGCACCGGGGGCATTTTGAAGAGCAAGACCTTCTCGGTGGCGTACGTGTTGGTGGGGGCGGGCGTGCTGCTGCTGCTGCTCTCCATCTGCTTGAGCATCCGGGACAAGAAGAGGCAAAGCGAAGATATTGTTCGCGTGCAGCACCAAGTGTCTGCAGAGCCCTCTCACCAGGAGGACAGGTGAGCCTTTTGGGGGGAGAAAAGGAGCGGGGTGTAAGGAATGAAACCAAGGGCTGTCATCCTTCCTCAAAGGGCTTAGGAGCAAGGAGAGCGAGGCTGATGGAGCGTGCTAAAATAAAGGCAAGCGCATCTCGGGGTTTAGGGTTCAGATACGTTGTGGAGATCAGGAATGACTCCTCCAGCTGTATTTGTGGTGCTGTAGGTGAAAGGGAGCGTTGTTTGTGTGTAAGATTGAGGCGTGACGCTCCCGGCTGCGTGGGCACAGGGGCAGCGTGCTGAGGGGGCACGCGGGGGGCCGGTGGTTAATGGTTCGCGCAGAGGAGCGGGGTGGCTGCTGCGAGCTGGGAGAGGGGCTGGGGAGGGGGAGGAGGAGGAGGGGGTGTGGGACGTGCTGTCTCGCTGGCGGCAGCTGGAGGTGCTGGGCAGCGGCTGGAAGTGGAGTTTAGACCCGCTGCAAGTCTGCAGGGCTCTCCTGCGCTTGCTCAGGGAGTTCCAAGGAGCAGAGCAAATGCAACGGCGTCTGAACAAGCCAGGAGAAGTGCAGGAGAAGTCCCTGGTCGTGCAGGGAATCGACCCGGTCCCCGGCGTGGGCTGTGCTGGTGTGGAGAGAGGCGGCGGGGTGTTGGGACAACGCGGGGTGTGAGGTGGCAGGAGGAGGCGATGGCTCTGCCGGCTGCTGCCCAGGGAGAGCTGCCATCGGGGACTGCGGAGAGTTACTCCGTCTGCAGATCCACCCAGAAAGCTAGTTTTCCCTGTTAGGTCGGGAAGGTTAACTTCATAATGCAAAAGAAACGCCAAATACGCATGTGCAGGTATCTGTGGCATAAATAGTAATGAACTGCAGAGCTGAATCTCGGCAGAAAAACTCAAGGTAGGTGCCCAACCCAAAAGACATCCAGATGGCGAAGGCAAAGGGGTGATGTCCCTTTCAAATGTATTTTGGCTGATTGTCTTAGAGGAAAGGAGAGAAATAGGGGTTCTGCTGGGGGAAGAAATCACTGCTGTGCAATAGAAGGGGTGTTGTGGGCACGGAAGTGGTGATCGAAGGTGGATGTATGTCACGAGGAAATAAAAACAAGTCTGAATATAGATGGGGTTGTGATCTGTTCTGTCAAACAAAAAGGAACTGGTATATAATGTAGAAGGGCAAATAATCTGTTAAGGTTTTGATGGAGGGTGCGTTTATTCTTTCCATCCTCTGCCCCCAGTGAAGCTGAAACAATGTGCTACTGACAGCCTCAATTTTTTCCCCTCTAGTCAAGAAGAGGACGAAGACGTGTCTTCCCAGTACTACGTCCCCAGCTACGAGGAGGTGATGAACTCGGGCTACTCCGAGCCCAGAGACTCGGACAGGAGCAACAGGGTCAGCGTCTCCCTGCCCTCCTACGAATCGCTGACGGGGCTGGACGAAGGCACCCAGCCGGCGGGAGCTGCCGGCGCGGAGCCCGGCGCGGAGCGGCAGCCCGGCCGGCACAGCTCGCGCCTCAGCAAGCGCCTGAAGCCACTCAAGGTCCGGAGGATCAAGTCGGAGAAGCTGCACCTGAAGGACATCAGGCTAAACCTCGCCGAGGGGAACAGCACCGCCCCTATCACAATAGAGCCGCTGACCCCTCCGCCCAAGTACGAGGAGATCCAGGAGAAAGCGCCAGAGAGGCAGCAAATTACTTAAAAAAAAAAAAAAAGGAGGAGGAATCTGTGATGCTGCTGGGGGTTTGGGGGGGGGTTGGGGTTTGGTTTCGTTTTGTTTTTTTTAAAACAACCACACTCAGCCTAAGCGGTGATGTGGAGGACACGACGGGTGTGTAGCACTGTGGCACGGGGACAGGACAAGCTTTTGCCGGGATGGGGCTTTATAGAAGACCATGGGGAAAGAGACCCGAATGCTGACAGGTCTGCTGCTCTGCAGTAAATGAGGGCTGGAGGTACCAAAAGTGTAATTTGTGGTATTTTACATAAGGACCACCCAATTCTCACCCCCTTCCCCTTGCGCAAGGAAGACTTTTCCAAGCCACCAAACTGATATTGGACAAGGGTTTTCCAAGTGGAAAAGGGCAACACTCCTTTTTTTTATTTTGTGCCTTTTCTTTATGAGTAAGGGAATCTGCACTGCCAGAGTAGTGCTGTGGCTTTCCCCCACTCACACCCGTTGCCAGGATGGTGGCCCGGAGCCAGCCCCGACTCCTGCCAAGGTCTGTGCTTGTGGGTGGGAGGTGAGCTGAAATGGACCCTGTGCTCCTCGGGGAGAGGATGGGTTTTTTGCCTTGGTTGCTTTCTCTGTCGTGTTTTGTGCTCTGATGCGAAGGGACGGTCCGTTTGAGGCAAATGGATAAAATCCAGGGGGTTGGGAGCTGAATGCACCGCTGGCAGGAGCCGTGCAGGGTGAACCGACTGCTGTGTGAGCAGACCTGTTCTAAATAAATGTTTTGTACATTGTGTTTGCACGCGTGTGTGTGTGTGCACTCGCGCGTGGTTGGCCCTTCCCAAGGTTTGCAAGCCCGAGCGCTCTGCGGTCAGTCGGCTGTTTCAGGGCAGATGCTGCTCCACGGGCACCCCGGCTTCCAGCAAAGCCATCGAGGACAGAATCGGCAGCAGCATCAGCCCCGGGCTCCCTCGTACGGTCTGAATGTTGATGGTGTGGGTAGAGAGCAGAACCTCTCATGAATTAGGAGCAGATGTCAGTGTGGCCAGTCTGCCCTCTGCCCCTGGGCTGCCGGGATGGATGTGGCCTGATTGGTACAACGCTGACACTCGTGTCGTTCAGCAGAGGTTGACTTGCTTGATATAGGGTATGACAGGAGTGCAAGTGACCAAAACAAAGACAAAGGAGAGATGCTGGCCCAAACCCATCTGTTTCTCATGTTATTTATTATTTCATATTGCATCTCTTCGTTTCTGTTGTTGTACCACAGGAATTTCACTGTTCTGTGCCCCAAGACACGATCTCAGAAAGGCCAAGCAACATCATTAAATAAGGGACTCACTTATTGAAGAGAAGGACAATAAAAAAAAGAGAAGAATATACCCCAGGTTGAGAGATTTGGGGCAGTGGGTCCCACATGGTTCTTGTTGAGGGGTTGGAAAGGGGGTGCAGCAACCTGAAAGTTGCCTCCCAGGCACGTGTGCCCCTAAGAGCCTGCCCGCAGCGAGACGCAAGGCATGAATTCCTCTCTCCCTGGTGAAGAAACGCAACCCTAACAGTTGTCTTAGAAAATCTGGGTTAATAAAGTGAAACTTCTTGTCTGAGCAGTTGGGAGTTGAAGATCCGTTGAGCTTCTAGGACAGAAAGTCCTGTTAAATGAAATAGGCTGGCAAAAGCAGCCTCTTTCCCAATGTCTCATGTAGGAAAAGAGCTGAAAAAAATGACGTGAACTGCAGTGACTGCAGCGAAACGGGCTGTGACTCATGTAGTAATTATGCCAAAGATGCCCAAATGGCTAATGAGCATCTCTGGCTACTTGCATACACCTGTCCCTTTGACAGTATTTGGAAAGCAGAGGGAGGTGTGGGATGCTGAGAAGCACGAGTGCTCCCCAAATTGTGAGCATCGCTGTCCTAGGATGGCACTGTAATCTCTTGTAAGGGAATCGTTGTTCCTGAAGCGTGATGGAGAAGAAAGGGGGAGAGTGCAGCCGCCTCCTCCACGCACGTCCTGCGGCGGAGGCACCCGACCCCGAGCTCTGGCTGTTGTTGCCAGGTAAGACACACTGGTAGGGGAGAAATCGGGATGCGTTTCCCCACGCAGTGTTTAAGGTGTCACGTCTGTCTCGGCGTCTCTGGAAGGTCGCTTGCATCCAACAGCAGCTCCCGAGATGTGCAGAACCTGAACCTCTTATTATGGCGACTGAGAGAGCCCCGGGGGTTGTTGGTTTTCCAAAGTGTCGCTGCAGTGCTGGGTTGGGGCTGGAAAACCTCGGTCGCCGGGCTCCAGTGCGAAGCCCTTGCAAGGACAGGAATGGGACAAAAACGCTGGCAGCAGGGGCTGGCACTGGGGCACGTGCCAAAGTGCCACTCTTTGGTGTGCAGAGCACTCCTTCGCAAAATCCCTTGCTTCTGCCTCAAAACGAAGCACGATAAAATCTTGCAGGACTTGCTAGCTGTTTTCCTGGCAGAGTTTTGTTTGCAGGTGCCGGGGGCTGAGCAGCCCCTTTGTCCCAGGCTGGCATTTGGGTCCTGCCAAGCAACGGAGCAGCCCTGGGGATAGCAGGAGACCTTTGTTCCCAGGATATTTGTAGATGGGACAATGTATTTTCAGGGGGAAGCACTGTGGTTTTGCGTGCGTGCATCCAGATGGATTCACTGCTGACTTGTAGCACGATGTCTGTGTGCCTGCGAGCTTGGCCGAAGGGGGAATTTGTGCTCCGTTTCCCACATTTTTCAGCTGGTTGATGCGGGAGTTTCTCACCCGCAGGAGCAGATCTGGGCCAAAAAAAAAAAAAACGATCTTGGGGTTTGCAGTTAGCAAAAATTTAAGGTTTAGGCTTGTATCCAGCAGGCCTGGGCTGCTTCTCAAAAGGATTATAGTTGGGTATAGCACAACACTGGGGTTGAGGGAAATGCTGTGGTTTGGGGAAATAGAGGGCTGCCACGCTTCCCTCCCTCCCAGACTCGTGGGGGGAGGCAGGTGCGTGAGCCCAGCTCGCCAACCCACCCACCCCCAACCAGGCAACTGCGTCGTGACTGCGCTTGAAAGATGCGCTTAAAAATTCAGAAAGCCATGGAGGAAAGGCATGGGAATTAGCAGAGTGCAATGGTGGGAGCCTGCACTAATTAGGGCTGTCGTATGCTGGCAGCGAAAGGGAGGCAGGTTTGGGAGGTCGGGGTCGGGTGGATGGATGGGGGGGAAGAGGCTCAAGTGTTGCTGGCATTGACGAGGCCAAACCAGGGGCTGCTGCGGGGCGGGGGGCAGGGGTGTTGGTGGTAGGTGTGTTATTTTCCCTTTTTCTGCTGAAAATGCTGAAAAAGGGTGTGTGGCAGCCTGGGACGAAGACATGTCGATGGAGAAACGTGCCAGTGGGTGAGTGTCCCCATCACCAGGCAGCAATGTTTGTCTGCTTGCCTGTGGTTGCAGGACCTGTTTGTGCATGTGTGCACGGTATTAAATAAAAAATAAGTAATAAAGGGAAAAAAATGTTCACTGGCAGCTTGCGCGGCCCCTCATGAGGTTTTTTGATATGTGGGGAAATATTCCTGTGCGTGTCACCTGCTGGCAAGGAGAGCTGGGGCCAGTGCTGGTGCGGAGCTGTGTTGTGCTGCTGGGCCAGTTGCTTGGAAAAGGAGAAGGGGAAAAAAAAAAAAAAAACACAAAACAAAACAAAGACGAAAATGCTCCCAGGAGGGCGGCAGCGGGCTCCAGCACAGCCAGGGTTTCCAAGGCTACTGCGAGGCTGAGGCCACGCTGCCGGCCAGGGCAGAGCTGCCTTTGGGTTGATTTTGTATAATTTCTAGTGCCTAAGTTGGTCGAGGCATTCTTGGCTCAGTTGTGCGTGTTGGAGGGGGGATTGCTAATTGAGGAGTCAGGTGTTTTTTTTTTTTTTAATGTAAGCCTTTTGAAGGGGCTGGATGATGCGAGCCTTTCTGAAGAGCTCGGAGGGGTGTTTTCAGCTGAAACCGCACACCACGACGATAGGCAGGCACGGAGGGTCCGACATCGTCCTGCAGGTAGGGGATGAGGAAGCCAACCAAAATGGATTGGTGGTTCAGAGGTGGGGAGAAGGATGCGCTGGAGTCCTCAGTGCAAAGCATGGAGGGGGGGGCTGCCAGCTTGCTTAGGCTGATGGACAGCAAGGAGAAAGGGGTTAGCAAATGAGTAACAAAACCTGAGCTGCTTTCGGGCAGGTTTCCCTGCTTGCCCGCTGATTGCCCGCTGGCAGTCCGCAGGTGTAGCAGATCATCACGCAGCCCTCGAATTCGCCGCCCCGGACAAGGGCTTCGTCCTTCAGGACTTCAACTCCCCCCACGGCACCTTCGTCAACGGCTGCCAGGTCCAAAACGCGGCCGTGAAAGTGAGTCCGGGGGACACCCTGCGCTTCGGCGCGGGGGGAGCATCCTTCGAGCTGGTGGTGGATGGGGCTGCCCAGGTAAGGGGGGTGCTGCTGCTTGAGGAAAAGTGGGTGCTTCTGCTCCCTCAGGGAAGGGAAAAGTGGGTGCTGCTGCTCTCTCAGGGAAGGAATGGGGTGCTGCTGCCCAGGGAAAAGTGGGTGCAGCTCCCCAGGGAAGGGATGGGGTGCTGCTGCTCAAGGAAAAGTGGGTGCTCCTGCCCAGGGAAGGCCCAGGAGCAGGATCAGGCCCCCAGGTCTGGGCGATCCTCCGAAAAGGTGGGGGAGGGAAATTAAAAGCTCGAGCTCCCTCTGCTGAAGAAGCTCGGGCAGTTCAGAAAGGAAAAGGGAAAAGCACCGGATGGGTTTCCCAGCAGCAAGTTGCACTTGAGCCGAGGTAGATCTGGAAAATGTCCTTTTCCTCTATTTGCATTTTATATTTCCTCAAAAGCTACTTACCTGCAGAGAAGGTGGGGTTTTGGATTCAACCTAGAGCAAACCAAAAGGTGCAGAGCTGGAGATACCAGGGTGCTGTGCACGGCAGGGCCAGGGCATCGCAGCTGCTTTGGAGGGCTAGAGAAACCCAAAGCCACTGTAAACTGGGAAATAAGGTGGTTGAATGCTGTGTCAGTGTCCCGTCTCCAGGAAGAGATTTGTCTGGGGCTGTCTGTGGAGGTCATTGAACTTTTGGGTTATTATACAGTTAACGATTGATAAGTTCCAGTATTATTTTTATTATTTTGGTTCTCGAGGGATCCAACAAAATAGATACTGAGGCAGTGTCCCAAAAAACTGTGTGTGCCTGGCAGTGGGAGTTACATTGCCTGGTCTCCTAGCAGTGTCCACATACAAGTAAAACTGAATTAGAATCAGCTGGTTTGTGCACTCACTTACTGGGGTTGGAGGTCTCGGCAGGCTTCCTGGTGTAGCAAGCTGACCTGCTGAATCCAAAGTTCTCCAGAAATCCTTGGCCAAGAGAAATAAAGAAAATTCTCAGCTGCATGATGAAGCCAGAGCAGCTGGGGTGCCAGTGCTGGTTAGGTAAAGCTAGTTTCTGCTGGAGCAGTGAGCATTTTAATTTCCAAAATTCTATGTGTAGGTTGCACCCAGAAAAGCAGTTTTGCACCGTGACACAGAGGAAGCCCTGCGGGTGCCTCTTCATTGCGCTGGGTTCTGTGATCCTCCCTTGGTGGAACAGCTTTGAAGCCTGACCCTGCTGACTGCAGAGAGTAAATACCCCTGTGCTGCACCCTGTGAAGTGCTTACGGTGTCTAATGCGGGGAGATCTCTCTCATTTTCAGTAGTATTAGAGGAACGTGTTGTAAAGAGGAGCAACAGGCAGTTAGGAGTCCTGTCCCTGCAGTGCCTCAGAGCACAGGCCGAGTGCCCGGGAAGGGACG